GGTTACCAGAGATGAATATTTAGTCTAGGGTAAGGGTTATCAGAGAGTCTAGATAATTAGTCTAGGGTTATCAGAGATGAATATTTAGTCCAGGGTTAAAAGAGATGAATATTTAGCCCAGGATTGTCGGAGATGAATATTTAGTCTAGGGTTATCAGAGATGAATATTTAGTCTAGGGTTACCAGAGATGAATATTTAGTCTAGGGTTATTAGAGATGAATATTTAGTCCAGGGTTAAAAGAGATGAATATTTAGTCTAGGGTTATCAGAGATGAATATTTAGTCCAGGGTTAAAAGAGATGAATATTTAGTCTAGGGTTGTCGGAGATGAATATTTAGTCTAGGGTTATCAGAGATGAATATTTAGTCTAGGATCAATATTTAGTGTATTACCAGAGATGTTTAGCTCATGGTTATCAGAGATGAATATTTAGCCCAGGGTTATCAGAGATGAATATTTAGGCCAGTACAGGGTTATAATAGATGAATATTTAGTCTTTTATTTTTTTAATTGATTGATTGATTCTTGTCTTTTATTTTGGATATGATATAAAGTTCTCTATTTCTCAGATGCATTTTGATGCGTTGCTTGGATCCACGATTTGAGCGTGATTTTCCATTGTTGCACGAAGCCACGTGTAAAATTAATTCATGATGAGGTGTGTCAGTTACAAGCCACGTGTTAAGAATAAAAGGGTCACGTTGACATGAGGAGTTTATGTCTGAAAGGCTGGACCGGTGAGCCTTCTTCTGCAGAGTCATCATTGGTAGACACCATTGATGGAGGGACTGGATTGTAATGGATAGCAGGGTGGAACCTACTTAACCTAATGAACGTATACACATTGATAATACATGTATGTTCGGATAGAACGGAGAGAAATGAATACAAATGGCATTTCAGCCTGTATTTCCATTTTCTCTTTGGAGTTACCATCACCCAACGAGCATGTAGAACGTGTACCTCCCATGAGTGAGTGAGTTGGGTTTAACGCCGCTTTTAGCAATATTCACCGCCCCGTACCTCCCATGAAATATGATTACAGTATCGCGACCTACTGTATGTCAATGGATGTGTGTGTCTGTCGTTTAACATCCAACACAGCAACTTCCAGCTGACGGCGGGGAATCCGAGCTGGTTACCTGGTATTCGTCTTCATCAACTTGTTCTTCCCCCCTCCGATTAGATTTAATGGCGCGGGTCGTGGATTATATCAATCACCGGATTAGTTGATCCCGACTCGGTTATTGTGAGGTGTCATTATATAGCTGATCCCGACTCGGTTATTGTGAGGTGTCATCATATAGCTGATCCCGACTCTCCCGACTCGGTTATTGTGAGGTGTCATCATATAGCTGATCCCGACTCGGTTATTGTGAGGTGTCATCATATAGCTGATCCCGACTCGGTTATTGTGAGGTGTCATCATATAGCTGATCCCGACTCGGTTATTGTGAGGTGTCATCATATAGCTGATCCCGACTCGGTTATTGTGAGGTGTCATCATAGCTGATCCCGACTCGGTTATTGTGAGGTGTCATCATATAGCTGATCCCGACTCGGTTATTGTGAGGTCATCATATAGCTGATCCCATCATAGGTGTCATATATAGCCTGATCCCGACTCGGTTATTGTGAGGTGTCATCACTCGGTCATAGCTGATCCCGACTCGGTTATTGTGAGGTGTCATCATATAGCTGATCCCGACTCGGTTATTGTGAGGTGTCATTGTGATATCATATAGCTGATCCCAACTCGGTTATTGAGGTGTCATCATATAGCTGATCCGACTCGGTTATTGTGAGGTGTCATCATCATATAGCTGATCCCGACTCGGTTATTGTGAGGTGTCATCCCGACATATAGCTGATCCCGACTGATCCCGACTCGGTCGAGGTGTCATCATCATATTGTCATATAGCTGAGGTTATTGTGAGGTGTCATCATAGCTGATCCCGACTCGGTTATTGTGAGGTGTCATCATATAGCTGATCCCGACTCGGTTATGGTTAGCTGATCATATAGCTGATCTCGACTCGGTTATTGTGAGGTGTCATCATATAGCTGATCCCGACTCGGTTATTGTGAGAGGTGTCATCATATAGCTGATCCCGACTCGGTTATTGTGAGGTGTCATCATGAGCTGATCCCGACTCCCGTCATCATGTAGCTGATCCCGACTCGGTTATTGTGAGATCATGTTGTCATCATATAGCTGATCCCGACTCGGTTATTGTGAGGTGTCATCATATAGCTGATCCCGACTCGGTTATTGTGAGGTGTCATCATATAGCTGATCCCGACTCGGTTATTGTGAGGTGTCATCATGTAGCTGATCCCGACTCGGTTATTGTGAGGTGTCATCATATAGCTGATCCCGACTCGGTTATTGTGAGGTGTCATCATATAGCTGATCCCGACTCGGTTATTGTGAGGTGTCATCATATAGCTGATCCCGACTCGGTTATTGTGAGGTGTCATCATATAGCTGATCCCGACTCGGTTATTGTGAGGTGTCATCATGTAGCTGATCCCTCGACTCGGTTATTGTGAGGTGTCATCATATAGCTGATCCCGACTCGGTTATTGTGAGGTGTCATCATATAGCTGATCCCGACTCGGTTATTGTGAGGTGTCATCATGTAGCTGATCCCGACTCGGTTATTGTGAGGTGTCATCATGTAGCTGATCCCGACTCGGTTATTGTGAGGTGTCATCATGTAGCTGATCCCGACTCGGTTATTGTGAGGTGTCATCATCTAGCTGATCCCGACTCGGTTATTGTGAGGTGTCATCATATAGCTGATCCCGACTCGGTTATTGTGAGGTGTCATCATATAGCTGATCCCGACTCGGTTATTGTGAGGTGTCATCATGTAGCTGCAATACTGCTGAGTTAACTAACAAACAAACGTCGGAACGGTTGCTTGTGTTTGGGATGAATATACCCATTCATTCCTCGAACAGCTGATGTCATCATTGTAACGTTTAGGGTGAATGTGTCCATTCTCTTCTCGAACAGCTGATGTCATCTTTTTAATGTAAGGAATTATTATGCCCATTTAGCCTTCAACAGCTGGTGTCATGACTCTCACGTTTGAATATGCCCATTCACATCTCGATCAGCTGGTGTCATTTCCCGAACATTTAGGTTGAATGTGCCCATTCATTTCCCGAACAGCTCACCACGGTGACCACGACGCATTATCTCAAAATATATACTGAGTTAGTTTGTTAAAAAAAAGTATTTCGTATAAACGAGTACGTTCTAAGCGTGGTCGTCAACATATCGAGGAAGGCTCAATTACCAATTTAATTATAAACATGTAATATGTATCAACTTGGTTAATTGCTGCATTTACTCCATCTTGCTTTTTAAACATACATGAAACTACGGGCACATCAGGCCAGTACGATTAATTGTCGCCAGGTGCTACAACACGAAACTTGGGCCATTAATTTAATAGCAACTCTCAAAGAAAAACTAATCGCCCGTGCAATTGTCTTCAGTAAGACCCATGACAGACACGTGACGAATGGCACCACGCGTTCCTGCAGCAGTGTTGCACCAATAGTAATTTAGAGCGTTCGCTGCACATAAAATACCTGCATCAATTACCCTGATCGGAAGTCGCTGACAAGGAGAGAGGGCGCTTTTTGCATGACGAGCAGGTGCGCGTTGGATCAGCCGATAGATGTCGCACGTGGTTGCTTCTGCCAATCACTAGCTCAAGTTCTTTCATGAAATCTCTTCTTCCGCCTTGTGGAGAAATCGGGCTTTTATCGTTAATAATCAGGAGACATTATTACATTGTGTGTTTGGCAAATATTTGGCCATGATTGCTACGAAGTGGAAAATGAGTATTTTGCGTACACATTAACTAATATCCATGGAATTACATGGATAGAGTGTAGAAAGAGAGCCATATGACTGGTCGCCCCGAGTTTGGATTTCTGTTCGTTTATTTAACGCCGCACTCAGCAATATTCCAGCTATATGATGATGGTTTGTAAATAATCGAGTCTGGACCGGACAATCCGGTGCTTAACATCATGCACATTAACTTGGATACGATGGCAAGCTTGGGTTGCCGAAGATCGGTTTTAATAAGGATCTTCACGGGTCTGGACTAAATAAGACTAGTATGCATTAAAACAAAGTTCAGTGCTTACCATTCTGCAAAACTGGGAATGTATATTCCTGCGTTTTGAAAGCCCGAATGGCCATACTTGTCCACATTATGAAACAATATACAAGTATGGTAGTTATATCGGATACTCTGTTTGAGGGATACTTCGTGTAGAGATCTGTATTCAGAAAACAAACGTAGCTGTTATGTACCAACAAATTTGGAAGGACCGTGAACCAGGTGAGGTGAGGTGAAATTGGGTTTAACGTCGTGCTTGAGAATATTTCGCTCACATGACGACGTGCATGCGTGTGTTTGTGTATGTGCGGCTGCTTGTACTAGCCCAGACTTAAGCTGGTTTTATAGTGCTAGCCCACTGAGATACCACGCCGCAGTGAAGCATGAATACCCCACTCAGACACATTATACTGACTCCGAGCCGACCAGTCCTTGTTGAACCCATTTATGCCGAGTGCCAGGCAGGGACCAACAAGTACCATATTTTAACGACTTTTGGTATGACGCGGTCGGGGATCGAACCCGCGACCTTCCGCTCTCCGGGCGGACACTCTAACCACTGTGAACCAGAAGTCCACGCTATCAAATGAATGGTATCTTCATACCTTCCTTCCGCTTCCGCTTTTAGCAATTAGCAATATCCCTGCAATATCACGGCTAGAATTGGGCTTCACACATTGAACCCGTGTGGGGAATCGAATCCGGGTCTTAGACGTGATGAGGGAACGCTTTAACCACCAGGCTACCCCATGGCCCCGTGAGGTCAAGGACTTGCCCTTTATTGTTTGAGAAATGCTATGGTTCCTAGTCGATACACACCTATGTTTACCTATCCGGGTGTATTTGCAGGTGATCACCAACTACGTGTCAGGTGGAAGGTGGCCATGGCGAGCCATGTACCGGATGCCAACAACACAGTGCTCTGTCCTCACAGATGTCGAGATCGACTCCAACATACTTAAACCCAAGGCGGCCCTCTACCTGGAGGATAGTAAGTAGATGTGTGTAGATTAATTCAGGGGAGGTTACTGTCATCGGATATTATGCATTCAGGGGAAGTAACTCTCTAGCTGGAGGACAGTAAGTAGATATTATTAATTCAGGGGAAAGTAACTCTCTAGCTGGAGGACAATAAGATATTATGCATTCAAGGGAAGTAACTCTCTACCTGGAGGACAGTAAGTATACATGTATACATTCATATGAAGTAACTGTCTGGAGGGCCTTAAGTAGATACGTATTATGCATTCAGGGGAGGTAACCCTCGAACTGGAGGACAGTAAGTAGAGATACGTGTACATTCAGTGAATGTCACTTTCTGCCTGGAGTTCAATAAGTATATGCATTCAGGGGAAGTAACTCTCTGGCTGGAGGACAGGAAGTAGATGGATATCAGGCATTCAGGGGACATGTCATTAGGTTCCTTTTTAGATTTTGCCTGTTTTCAGGCTCTTTTCAATATGCTCAGAAATTCCATTGTGTCAGTCAAACAGGGGTTTTAACATTTCCAAGGATGTACTTTTTGTAAGCCCGAACATCTTGAGACCTGTTCCTGAATATCTGTAGGGCATAAAACATACACAATTGTCGTAAAAGTATCCCATTAAGTGAATGCTACTGAAATATAAGTGTTGTTAATGAAGTTGTAATGACGTCCTGTTCTTCCTCCAGGATCCCGGAGCAAGGTGTGCAAACCCGCAGAAATCTCGCCCGTCACCGTGTCTGTGCGCCTGCTGACCAGCGCCATGCCCAATATATACGACATCGACACCCAAGGTAATGGACGGAGCGCAAATACAAACATACCCTACGAGTCACCACGTGAACAGCCCGGAGCACCTAACCTCGGCGGGATGTACAGCAGCGCTGGAAACGTGCGTCTCCCGTCGTTGTTGATGTTGCTGGCATTGATGTCCGTGACAACCAGTTCTCGGTGACGGCAATCACGACTGACTCTTGTATGCAATACTTGCTAGCTGATCTTCACTAAGTGCCAAACTATAGAGCAGGGATAATGCAGATGAAACCGCGACGTTCATTGGCTTGCAATTCAGAGACTGGAATGTGAAATAGAATGATTGGTTTGGTCTTGTGAGGCGAATGAGGTCGTAACAAAGGTTCCCATTGGACATGAGACTTATAACGAACGTCCTGATTGGGTGTTGTTACCAGCACGATTGAATAAACCACCTACGCTGTGTGTTAGATCAAGAACGAAACACAAGCGAACCGACTGCTCGTGGTTTGCATGCGCCGCCAAATTGCGCTGAGTTTGAACAGTAAACGCCATAGACGCCTAAGGGGGTATTTATCAACCGGCCCAGGTCCAGGGTCCCGTTCCTCAGAGCGATCGTAGCGCTACGACTGTCGTAAGTCTATGTTAAAGTATGGGAGTTACGATCACCTTAGCGCTACGATCGCTTTGAGGAACGGGGCCCAGACACGTATTAAGCTACAACCTTGTGAGCTTATACCCATGCAGTATTCTTAGCTTCTTACCAGGATTTTGCGAGTCAAGTCATCGTTGTAATTTAGTACAGTACTGTACCGCTGGTGTAGAAGTCATGAAACCAGACCGTTGTCGCTGTTTGATACTAGTGTTTACATGCTACACCTTCTATACCGATGTATGACTACATGTGTTTATCGTTGTTGTGTTAAATGTTAACGCTGGGACACCAGGTGTTTCAGGATTCTGTTACAAACGCCTGAAACATGTTATGTTTGTATATTTTATTATCATACAATGTGTGGATGTTATTTGTATAATGGTTTACTAGATGAAATATTACGGACGTTTGTTTTAAGTAGTCGGCCGTCATCAAATGCAATGATTGTTGTACATACTATACATTCAATAGGTATGTTCAATTATGAGTTCGCTGGATTGGGGTCCGTTACCTTCTCTCTAATGGTCCTTATGTAAGCGAGTCAAGTAGTATTAGGAAAAGCTTTGTATCTAGCAGATTGACATAGTTATGCCAGTATGCCAAAATATTAATATTTTTGCAATGATTTGCCACTCGTATATACATAATGGAGAAGCCATTGTACATTGCTACCTGGTCATCGTGTGCGGTCAGCAGATTATTCAATAGACATATTTTATTAATACAGGTATGTATAGAGATGGATACAGAGAGCTTATATCAAATAATCTGCATTAGATATCTATTATTGTTATGTAAAGAAGGTATATATGCGCGAATTGTTCAAATATGTGGTCGTTATACCGAGGTATCTGGTGATACGTCCAACACTCGGATCACATTGAATATGTTAGTGTCACGGGCAGTAACGGAGATGTACTTAGCAACGTATTTAACATTGTGTTGTTACCTTTTGCACTGGATGTTATCGGCGTTTCTTTGTGTTATCAACTAGGTCACGTTAAAATCGCGTCACAGCTCTCGCCAGCAGCACGGAGTCAACATACAATGCATGGCAATATGCGATACATGTGTTTAATCAGCGGAATTGGGATGGGATAACTGCACATGCATACTTTCTGTTTGTGAAAAGACTGTCAATCAAACACATTTACTTTAGGTCAAGGTCATTAAATTTACTTTCACTTTGTATCAAGACAGTGAATATTTGTTGAGAAGTGCCCGAATGGTATGTAATAATGCAAATATTATGAATTAATAAATGTTTGGTTGTTCAGAAGTGTTTTAAAGACTAAGCTGTTTATAAGAGCATGTACGGTACTGATGGTCGTTCACCATCCTTACAGTGCAGTATTGGTTCATATCTATCTTCGTGTTTGCTACCCATATAACCTCCGAATCAATTCAACCTGCCTCAGTTGACAAGGTCCTCGATCGATCGTTTGTGTTACGCAAAACATATTTTGTAACAATACCGTTTCCTCAGCCACAGCTAATTGATTTTATGGTCGTCGAAATATGTTGCATCTCTTTTAGTATATTTTTGTGGCAAATTTGAGACTTTTGTTGAGATGTATCTCCAACCAGCCTCACAGCTAATAAATTATTTAATAAAGTTTGCCTTGACCCCGTAGAATTCTGGTAGGGAAATATCGCTGATCTATTACCAAAGGAAGGAGTTATGTGGAGACTCTTTTATCCGGACTATGGAAAACACAGGTGACCGGATAAGCGGTAATATATGTTTAACCATAGTGTATTAGATGTACATATATATATTATATGTATATTATGAATAGTGCACAAGTTATGAGTTGAAATAATTCTCGCCTTAATGTGTAAAACAAGCGACATATATTAATGACTTTGCTGTGGCTTGAAATTGAAAAAGGTGACAGAATATTGATGACAATAGTTTTCGTGGGGTGTTAAGTTTAATATGTAGATACGTTGTCGTAAGTATCGTAGACATTTGTTCTAAGAGCGTGCATGATAAATAGAAAACCTAGAGTTACCGGTATTCCCCGTAACATTAGCCATGACTATTATGCAACTGCTATAGTTATTGACCTAATCGTGCAATTGATTGCTTTGAGAAGAAATTTCTTATGAATGTGGAAATGGTTTTGTCGCTTTTTAGGAGAGGGAGTGCGTTACGTACGCTGTGTCCAACATCCTTGCGTATTCTTAGAACACCCATCCAGTACCCGAAGCCTTTGTCGATTAACATGGCCAGATGAAAATGAGCAGTCATTTTTCAGTTGAAACCTTGTTTTAAAGAGTGATAGTGTCAACACCATTTATTTAATCTGTCTTAGAAATTTTCAAGTTTCAAATTGGCTTATCTGGCGATGCTGTCTCAAAGACAAGGTAACGGTACAGTTGTCAAAAACAGTTCAAGACGTTTGTCAAATACCATGTCATAGTTTGGATCGGAGGATGCCAGCAACCTGTATCGTTAAAGGACTCCAAGTCCATGGTAGACGTTTCCAGATGCTGGGTGGTACAAAAGTAGTTCTACATCTATGAGGCCGGATATGTCATTGACTCACGGTAGGAACCTATGAATATATTTGTCCCACTGTAAATGTCCAGAAATTAGGAAAATGTCATGAATGATAAGATGCGTGTGTCAGGCAATCTCGATTACAACTTGAAGCCTCGGGATAATTACACGGGTTTGCCAAATAGTCAAAATGCAAATATCTATACTCATTGATAACAGAGAGCTAGGGTGGCCTTGTGATCAGAGGAGCTTAAGTCGCTGTGTGGAGCTGTGTTCCTTAGTTACGCAACGGGCCCGTGAAGGTCCAGGTTAGAATTGGCCCTCAGCAACCCATGCTTGTCGTACTAGGCGACTTACGGTATCGGGTGGTCAGGCTCGCTGACTGGGTTCACACATGTCATGGTATCCCATTTGCGTAGATCGATGCCCATGCTGTTGATCACTGAATTGTCTAGTCCAGATTGTTTACAGACCGCCGCCATATAGCTGGAATATTGCTGAGTATAAACTCACTCACTCACTCGTTACGCAACGATCCGATTATCGTGGTTTTATGACTGATTATGATCCTAAGTCTGTCCGCACTGCTCCTGTGCGCGTGGGCGTTTTTTCCACGTGTTACTGAAATTCTGTTCAAAGCAGTTTTAAACCAAAGTAGAAATCTTCGAAACTACTAGATATATACCCGATAGAATTACGGTCGCGTTTTGCCAGCATTCAGTGTTACAGTAGCTGTACCTCAACCGAGAGAGGGACATTTTACGTGAAGAACGTAAGTTCCTCAACAAGTGGAATGAATATAGCTAGTTGTCTGTCGTATAGTATGTCACGTGAAGTTGCATCAAGAACAAGCAATGAATCTTATGTTGGTTACCACACATTGTGTATATCATGGTTCATATGAAATCGTACTTTCCTCACGACTGTATATTCATATTAATAACGCTGTTCTCCTACCCGCTGTTGTTCGTTGTTGAGTGTTCCCTCAGGTCTCAATACCAACCGCTAGCCTGTAGATTTATAATTGTGATACAGAATGCAGTCGTTACCATTATAACTATTGTGAATAACTGAATATGTGAGATTAAAATATATACCATACTAACTGCTCTATGTTCTTTGTCATCTTTGAGACATGTCAAAAGAATTTTCCAATTTAAACACAGACAACGCGTTATCAGTACTTACAGGACAAACTCTTCACAAGTTATGAAGAGCTTCTTTCAGGGGACAACCCTCGGATAGACTGGTGATCCGGTCAGAGCTCAAGAAGAAACGTTCCCAAAACACCGGGAAAAGGAAAATGTTCGTTTGACATTCTGGATGGGCTGCTAAATGATCTGTTTTGGTTCCATTTTCAACTGAAAAGGTCAAGTAATCTGATTCTGACAAGACCCTAAGTGAGTGAGTGAGTATGGTTTTACGCCGCTTTTAGCAATATTCCAGCAATATCACGGCTGGGGACACCTGAAATGGGCTACACACATTGTACCCATGTGGGGAATCGAACCCGGGTCTTTGGCGTGACGAGCGAACGCTTTGACCATTAGGCTACCCCACCGCCCCTCAAGACCCTAAGCACAAAACAAGACTTGTCTGAACAAAATTCCTCTCTTCAGAGACGTTCATACCAAATGACGTCTCTTCTCCCTTACATTGTTTCCGTCATGCGAGGCTGGGCACCTAAGCAATGCAAATGTCCACAGGTCATGGGTTCATAATGGTCAAATGTCCGATCACAATGTATTTTGTCAAATCAAACATACATAGGTGAGTGTGTGAGTTTATTTCTACGCCGCACTCAGCAATATTCCAGCTATATGTTGGCGGTCTGTAAATAATCGAGTCTGGACCAGACATGCCAGTGATCAACAGCATGAGCATCGATCTTCACAATTGGAAATCGGTGACATGTGTCAGCCAAGTCAGCGTCCCTGACCACCCGATCCCGTTAGTCGCTTCTTACGACAGGCATGGGTTATACTAAAGGCCAATATTCTAACCCGGACCTTCACGGGTCTCAAACGTAAATATTTTCACTTACAGTAAACGTCTTTGGTGAGCGCCTCAGTGGGCTTTCCAACGCCTTATCAAAGACTAGCATGGGACACGAACTGTGACCCTTTCAAATGACTGAAACTTAAAATAGTAAACAATCAGAAAAGAAAAACGAAGTTATGCCCTTCTTATTACAAAAATCGGAAAACTTCTCCGACACATTCCTACCACGTGAGGGGCGGTGGGGTAGCCTAATGGTTAAAGCGTTGGCTCGTCACGCCGAAGACCCGGGTTCGAATCCCCACATGGGTACAATGTGTGAAGCCCATTTCTGGTGTCCTCCGCCGTGATGTTGCTGGAATATTGCTAAAAGCGGCGTAAAACCAAACTCAGTCAGTCAGTCAGTCAGTCAGTCCTACCACGTGTTCATCCCTCTCATCCGGGTTCTGCCACGGTGTACGCAGTTTGATAAATGCGTT